AACACAAATAGAGGGAAAAGAAGTGGTCTGGATCGAAGGAGGGGGAGGGGGAGGAGGAGGGAGAGAAGAAAGGCGGGGAAGAGGAAGATTTCGCGCGGTAATGGAGGGGTGTGAACGGCCTTCAGAGACCTCACACGAGAGAGAAAAGTATCGATGTGGAAGGTTGATGGAAAGTGCTTCCTGTGGAGGACATGGGAAGGAAAGAGGAAGAAAGGGGAGAGGAAACGGCGGTAGACGGACGCATGCACGACGAGAAATGGCGCGAAAAAAGAAAGGGAGCAGCACCTGGAATAATCGAGAAAGCGAAGGGGAGGAGACGGCTCATTCATTGTGGGAACGAGGCCATTGATGATGACAAAAGGGGTCAGGAAGAGCAAGAGTCGGAGAACTACCACCAAGGCGTGCAAGGAAGGGATGAGTCGACAGGGAGGCTATTGATGCCCAGAGGGTGACGGACAGGAGGGAAGGAACGGGCATCAATATTCCATTTTCCTCGCAAAATCACGGGTTAGGGTTAGGGGCGCAAGCCCGTGTCCTTGGGCCGGGGGGAATTTAATTTCCTTTTATTTCTTTCAAACTTCCGGCCTCGCCATCTTCGTTCGCAATACCTCCTTCTTCCTGTGCGTATTTTGTTCGCTTTCCTCCTCCCCGTCCTATTCTACGAGTCCTCTGTGCGTACCTTCATTCGAGAGAGTGATTATTCACAAAGGGCAACGGCCCCCCAGAGGAGCACCAGGGCGGGCAGGGAGGGGAGGAGGAGGTGACGGAGCAGGAAGGGAGAGAAGGGAAGGGGGAGAAAAAGTCGTCGTAGACAAGGAAATGGTTGTGCTGGGCCCGGTGTTTCTTCAAGGCAAAGTGCTTGGCTAGGAAGGGGAGGAGTCGAGGGGAGGGTCGGTCGAAGGCCAGACAGTGGGGCCCAGAAATCCCTTCGTGAGACAGCGCCAGGCGCAACAAGGAGGCGCCCAGACCCTTCCGTTGCCAGGGGGAGGCGATGAAGAAGTCGAGGAGGCAAAAGGGATTGGTTTCGACGAGCTGGAGGGAGAGACGAAGGGAAGGGGGGAGGGAATAAGGAGGGGAGGGAAGGTCGGCAGAAGAAACCATGTCAATATGCGGCGCTGACATTGCAGGGTGGTCTGTCCTCTTGCTTTCGCACGTCCTTACCTGTCCTTGAGGATTTGTCAGGTACAGGTGTTTTTGGCCTAGCTTGAGAAGGCCCAGGGCGAGGAAAGAGGAGGAGGGGGAGGAAGGGAAAGAGGCAGCGGGGGAGGGTGTCGACGCCGTGCATGGAAGTGATGAGGATGGCGATAATGGACTGCTCAAGGAAGGGGATGAAGGAGCGTGCGGCAGGTCAAAGGCAATGAAGGAGGCAGAAGACGGTAGGATGAAGATGTACGGCGGGGACGTGGAGGGTGTCACGGCCTCGGCGGGCTGGGAGCAGGGCGGGGAGGGTACAAAAGGAGGGGAAGACAAGAAAGAAGCAGAGGGAGGAGGCGTGTCGGCGACGTTGCTCGCGGTAGAGGCAAGTATGTAAAGAATGTGATCATCTGATGCCTGAAGGGAGCGGATAGTGGAGATGGGCCTCCGCAGTCCCTGGGCACGGGCAGAGCAGGCAGCCAGGCTGTCGATGGCTGCACACGCCGAAGGAGGAAGACACGCTGTCGTGCATGTGAGGAAGTGCGTGAACGAACGAGATGGATAAGCGGGAGGGAAGTGGTGGGATGAAGCACGAGGGGGTGGGGGGGTATAGTTGCGGCCGGACCTAAGGCGGCTTTGTCAAAACGAAGGGCAGTGTAAGAGGTTCGACCATCCTGTGCCACATGATCGCATCCTCTGTCCTTAGTCGTTTCCATGCCGTCCCAGCGTGAGGACTGTCGGTCGTGGGCCTGTTGTGGTCCAGGATGGGATTATGTGGGGGTTATTAGACGTGGTTTTACGCGGCAAAAACATGAAAATTTGCCTCCCCCCTTTCGTCATCGAACCTTTCCCTCACGGCACAGGGCGAGGAGCAGGGCACCCAGCCTTTTTCAGGTTTTCTTTGTAAAGGAAGCCAGGACGGTCCTTAGAAAGAAACTAACGTAGCCATGGAGTTCATCTACGATAGGCCTGGCGTGGATGTGTGCGGTGGGAAAAGCCTAAATTGAGTGCTGGCGTTCGGCGCTTTTGCGGTGCCCTGCGTGTGGGAGTATCATGTCTCTTGTTCTATTCCTAACGCTTTTTCTATCCCACGTTTCCCCACGTATTTTTCGCCCACACTGCGGCACCCGACGACATCACCTACGTTCATTGACGTAAGTTAAGGTATTGCGACGTATTGGATTCATGGTTGGCACCGAAGAGAACGTGTCGCCCGTGCTCGTCCCCACAATCTTGCGCGATGGAACAGCAGCAGAGGGGATGATGACTGACCTGGAAAAAAACGACGTGGTCAAAGAGAAATCACAACACCCGCCAACTCTCTTGGAAGGAAAGATGCAAGAACGCAAGGATGGTGCTGTCGAAGACCCCATCCAGGACAATGAACTCCTGCAACCTGCCCCCGGGGAAGAGGAGAGGGTCATGCCTGAGGAAGAAGGGATGCCCGTCGACGACGCTGTGTCGTCCAACTTGCCTCCGTCTTCTCCCCCATCCCCGCCATTGGACAACACGGCTTCTACAACCGCCTTGGAGGCGCGGGCGGAGGGACAAGGAGAATCATCGGCCGAAAAAGAGGGACATATGGAAAACATGCATCAGGGAGGCACGAGTGCAGTGGAAGAGAATATGCCTTCCACGGCGGGGCCCGCGGCTTCCAGCCCACCAGAAAGCACGCCCGAGGTCATGGACTCCCTGGAAAAAGGCGAGGAAGTGTCGACCACGTGGGGTTTGGGTGTCATCACAGACATTCGGGCCGGGAGCACGCCGCCGGCAAAGGGCCCCGGGGAGACATACGTGGTCAAGGCCTTGACCTGGCGCA